TGCCTAAGACGTGCATTACTAGGGCTTCTCCAAATGCATAGTGACATGCTTTATGTTGCCATGAGTCATCGAGGAGAGGCGTGATATAGATGCAGGGCTTTACAGTGCTGGCAGACTGCCAGACATGCAATTTAGACCACAGACACAGGAAACGGTTCAGTTAAAATAAAGGATAGAGCAGAGTGCTGGAGTGAACCATGTTACCTAGAAGGCACCGCTGTGTGATCAGTTAGACTCGGCAATTACTGGAGCATTTTATCGGCACCTCTATTTAGTCATGCTGTTCACCCCGCCCACCCTTCACTAGGATGACAGCACCAGCCACAGTGACCACCAGGATCCCATCTCCCTGGCTGTGGAGATGGCTGCCGTCAACCACACCATCCTGGCACTGTCCCGGCCAGGCACAGTTCCCAGTGACATCAAGACTGAGGCTCTGGATGATGACTGAGTTGGGTGGGTGGGTGGGTGGGGGTGTGTGTGTGTCTGTGTGGGAGGGGGGTAGAGTGTAGAAAGAGAGGGCCTGAGACCAATGGTGACCAAAATATCAGTGGCTAATGCACACACAAGGAACTGCGAGTCATACAAAACACCCCAGCCCTCCTAGTCCTCCCTAATCCCACAATACTCTTTGCTACTTCTTCACAGTCTTCCTCTCCTGCTTCAGTGAGTACACCAGAAATCCTTATGCTCGTCTCAAAAGAAATAGTCTCGCAGTGCTGTTCTGCCCTTTTAGTGTAGATTTTATTTTATTTTACTATGTGTACCTCCCATGACGAGAACAGGCCTTGCCCAAAACCAAAACCTGTTTTGTTCCTCTGTCCTGCCTGTCAGCAAAGAGGGTAGTAGGGGTGCTTTCGGCGAATACAGAGCAACAGTATTACCCTCTTGTGCCCTCTGTTGCTGTGCTTTCTCGATGCTGTTGTGCGTTGTAGTGGCCTCACCTAGTCAGTCAGTCCCACCCACCAGCACAGGGGGGATGCCTGGGGTGGGGTGGAGAGATGGGCAGCCCACAAAGCTGGGATAGAACAGGTGATGAGGAGCACGTGTGTATTCACGGACACCCAAATAGGCCACAGGTGCCAAGTGGTCCCACCGAACTACGAAGCATTATTTTATATTATTTTAACTATCACACTTTACAGACCCTTTTGGGAGTTCCCTGCACTGTAGGTGGTGACTCATACCCACTGTTAACCTAAATGGGGGTGCAGGGAAGCCCCAGGCATGACACACAACCAATGGGAAACTGCTGGATGTGCCCGTCTTGTTCAATACACAGCTGTACCCAAAGCCATTCGCAAGAACCAGAAGCTCATCTGTAGCACCAAGCTGTAGCTGGCGGTGGCAGATCAAAAGGGGGCGCTCGCTCTGTTTCGGGCCCCGCCGATTTGCCGCAGGAGTCGGTTAGGGGTGGGGGCCTCTCTCTGCCAGCGTCGGCTTTGGACTGACCGACGACACTGGATGTGGGTGATTGGCTGGGACGGGGGGTGGAGGCTGACTGTTAGTCTTTATCACTGCTTAAAAGGCTACATTCTAGTCCTTCACCCACCCCGACACGCAAGCCTTTAGTCCACACCACATAGGATGCTGCTTTCAGTGTGAAATAACGTACAGCACTTGCTGCCCAATTAACGGCTAAGCTGACCGGCAAGTCATTCATTCTGCTGCTTCAGAACTGGATCCCCTGTGAGGTTCCGCTGTTACTAACCGGCGCTTGCTTTCGATATCAGTATCTATCTAAAGAGGACAAAAAATAGGCTCATTTTAAAAAGACAAAATGTATTTAATATTGTATTTTGTCCGAGTTCCTCAACTGTAAAATTTAAAGATGTATAGCAAACTTTTTTTAATTTTATTTTTTCTAAATTACCTCTCAATGTTTTAGTTTGTTCCCCACTCTCGGTTTCTAGGTGACCTTTATCGCTTGTTTTCCATTTCGAGGTGAGAGCGATCCACCCCGTGTTCCTAAACATGAGGCTTCAAGGCAAAGCATCCTCCCCCAAAAAAGGGGTGGAGTCCAGCCTAGGCTCCACCCACTCAGAGCAGCCACATCCACATGGGGTGAGGATGACAAACTGTGGCCTAGCGAGCCGTGCCGAACGCCAACGGCGTGTATAGCAGAGGAACTTAAAGTGGGGGGGGGGGGTTTCAGTGTGTTAGGGAGTTTCACACATGGTGTTACCTGGATTTATGTGGCTCCATGTTTTCCAACCACCAACAGGGAGGCACAAGACATAACTCTAATTATATATATAAATGAGAGCTTGCTTGATGTGAGCGAAAAATAGCTTGTCGTCCTCCAGCACATTTAATACCTTAATGCAGCCCGAAGAATGACTGTGTTCATCAGGGACATGTCAGTCATGGGTCAGATCACATTTACATCTGGACAAGCAGCCTGCAGCATTTGCCATTCTGCTAAATCTGCTCACTATCTAGAGGCGAGCGCTGATGTTCTAAGGACTGTCCTCAAAGGGCGGTGCACTTTACCGCCAGGACTAAAGGGGTTGCAAAGTCAGCGAGACGAGCCCCTGGCATGCAGGTGTCAAACTGCAGGCCTGGGGGGGGGCAGAGCCCTGCACATTTTTGGGTTTCCCCGCATTTGACACACCTGACTCCTTGTGCTAATTACCACACAGCTCCTGAGCTGAATCATTTGTGGTGGAACAGGGAAAGAGCTAAGCTACACAGGCTCCGCCCCCCCAGGACTGACTGCAGTTTGACACCCCTGGATTAAAGCATACACTCATACGTCTGATGCAGTGATCACTATATGGCAGCTTCATGACAGCAGGGATGCCACACTAAGTTCTGCCAGCGGGTCACTTTACAGCATCTCTTCAAGGTCCCACCATTACTGGGAGCATGCAGAAAGACGTACACAGAGCGCTAAACCTCCAACACGGGCGTGGTGGGCGTGACCTTCTGCTGGGGGGGTGCTTTGCCATGACAGGCTTCAAAGGTCACTTGTCCCTAAGTGTCATCTGTCCTTGTTAAATGTGGAGAAAAAACTTGATAAAGTATATGAAAGTTATCAATTTAAAAATAGTTAATATCCCTTCATTGTATCTGAATTTAGTGCCTTTTTTGGACAGTAGACTGTTCTGTAATTAAACTGTAGTATATATATAAATGTTTTTGTACAGTTTATTTGTTTAAGAACTTTTTTTTAAAACCTGTGTTTTAGTATTGTACCTACTAGAGAATAAAAATTATATCAATGAAATGAAACTCCTTGCCCATCTCTGGCTCGTTGATTTGCTACATGACACTCGTACCTGGGACCACACTGGCCTGAGCAGAGGAGAAATCGCTCCTGGGGGACATGTACAAGGGCTCTGCTCTCTTGTAATAATCATTTAAAAACCTGCTGCGGTGGGGCAGGGGGGCACAAAGATTGGGTATCACTTACCATTACAATGCCAAAATAGACCAAATTAGTCTACTGCCATCTGTTGATGAAGCTACAAGCCGCAAGAGAAACCATCTGTCGAAACCTTTCCTTTATGCAAATATTTAGATGGCCATTAGGCAGGTACATCTGTTCCTTCGATTTTCTATCAATAACCAGAGATCTAGGAACATGTGGGCTGTCTTTGTTTCCTGGCTGGGCTTTAACGTCACCAGATGCGAGCTTCTGCCTATAGCATCCATTGGGATGTAGCTTTAGTACATCTGTCTGTACCCTTATAAGGCATGAGCCCACCCCTCTATAGGAGTTCATATAGCCCAAGTTTATCTAGTAAAGCAGAGTAAGTGGCAGCAGGTGAGGTGGGATCCGGGGACACATGTTTGGGTTCAGGGGATGCTGGGATTGTTACAGGAGGACACTGGTTATTCGGCACTGGAATGGCAGTCGAGGTGAAAGGTACAGGCACTGAGAAGCACTTACTGCCAGAAAAAAACATCTGGGGGGGCGGAAACCCAGTACGGAAAAGGGGGGGGGGGGAAGATGCAGACCCAGATAAAAATACACAGCAGCTTCATTATCGAAAACCGCCACGTCCTGCTTCTCAGCAAAGTCGCACCCTGACATCAGTCGGCGAGCTGCAGTCTGGATTCTGAGCTCTGCAGAGTACATCTGTATGTTTAATTCCAACACATACTCATTTGTATCAGGTGAGGGCATTCAGGCTAAACCAATTAAATCAAAGAATATAAACCACATGACTAGCTTGTTAGCCAATAGAATCAAAAGGAAAACCACACGCCATAGCTACTGAGCCGACCAAATCGAAGTATAAACTACATGGCTAGCTGTTGATAAATGTAATTCAAGCTGAACTAAAGAGGAAAACCAAGTAATGTGGAGGATGGTCGATTCTCCCAATTATCTACCAACAGACAGTGGTGGGCAAGGTTCCGTTAACCGCTAATTAGCAAAGTTGACTTTTTTGTTAACAGATTAGCATTTCTGCTAGCTTTGAAAACTCTTAGTGGACCAATTAGCTTCTGCTAAATTTTGTTCCGCTAACATTTTTTTTGTAGGTGACATGAGCAAAGCTTAATGCATTTAAAACACTTGTGAGCCCTACAATCATACACATTTGTTTCTGTTTGTTGTGAGTGTATCTGCAACATTCCATCTGGCATGCTATTGGCTGACTACATGTAAACACACAATGTGATTGGTTGATAACTTGTCAGATTTAAAGTAGTCCGGGCTAAATGTAGTCCATTTAAACTGGGGTACCTTGACTGAAGTGAAGAAAAACGGGCCTGTATCATGAAGCAGGATTTCTTGCTTAGCTGGATAACGTTGGATTTAAGGTACCCCAGTTTAAAGGGACTTTTAGCATTTATCGTTAGCGTCTGCTAATTTTTTTAGTGGATTAATCATGCAATAAATTAAATATATTCTCTTCAGACAGAATGCTGGGTTAATGTTTGAAATCCATAGATCATCTGGATTCTGCCAGGTCATCATATTTTCTTCACAAGCCATCAGAGCACACAGTATACACAAACACGCACTCTCAGTGAATAAGTGTCAGAAGTGAGACATTGCAAAAATGTTTATTACTGTATCTGACTTGAACTTTTGAGAGTCCCTGCATTAGTGTGCAATGAACTTGTCTGAACCATCAACAATGATAAAACTTCAATTTAAGAAAATAAATAAATACACAAACCCCTTGATTGGTTTGATGACATTTTATCCCTTGCAGAAGGAGAGTAAGGTCGGGTTTAGTGTTACTGAATTACTGCAGGTTCGCAGAACTGTTGCAAACATCTTTTTCGTGTCATCCATGTAATGATCGCAGGTCAAAAACAATGTTTGGGAGAAGTTAAAAAAAAAAAAAAAAAAACATGACCACCACCATCCAAGTCCAAATCCCCTTCGCAGCAAAATCTCATGGGTTCATTGCCAACCCACCACAGTATGGCATCTACAATGTTTGGCATGTTGGGGTCACTCATAATGAAGGCTGATGCAGCAGCGAGTAGTTCATTACAAAAATGTTCTTAGTGATGTGTTCGTGGCTTCGTAGAGTCCAGTTATATTCCACTGGAAAACCTTCAATGCTGTAACGGAGCTTAGTGCTGTTTTAACAGAGGCCACTCCGTGCTTCATAAACCAATCACAGGACAGAAAGCACATATATTTAAGGCAATGCGGCCCTTGAAGTGCCAAAAGAATGGAGAAATAAAATGCACATCATCATACAGGTCAGTAAATCATGAAGGCAGAAACAGGAAGTAGTTTCCCCCCCCCCCAACATAACTCATACATGAAGCATTTAAATAAACCATTACCCTTAACCATCATACACGTACAATATAATATCCTGCAGCCTGGATATTGGATACTGGTGCATAAATCGAAGACCAAAGACCTAAACTATCAGATGGGAGCAGAGATTAGATATTTGCCCCAAAGATACAGATTATTCCCATGGCCCTCAACCTAGATTTTTAAAAATTAAAAATTGATTAAAAATGATTTAATTGTGCAATTCTGGCTCCCCACTGAAAATAAGAGGTTTACACCAAAGCTTTAAATGGTCCTCTAGCTTTACATAGAACTATGCGTGTCGGACAAAGTAAAGAGGGGGATCCTCCCATAGATTGGATGCTGCTTCATTTTTATTTTTTGTAAACCACTCATAAAAGGCCCATTCATTCCCCGAGTCCTACTCCCTGAGATGTGAGAAAAATTAAGATTCAAAGCAGACATTCTTAAAGGCACATTATTCTAAAATATTTAAAAACTTCTGGAAATATATTAAAAGGTGATAAAAGGTTTACGATTTCTCAGGCAAAAATGACACTGTAGGAACAAGCCGATACAGCCAGTGACAAAGCAGCTTTGGACAGACAGTAATGTTATAGAAGTCATGGAGTATGTAGGGAGGAGCCCAACACTGGCAGTATTTGGCAGCACGTGCCTTACTCTAACACCATGCAAAAGGTATATGCCGCATGTGCTATAGACATTCCAGTGGTCTGGTGTTGAAATATCCTTGCACACACAGTGTGCTCTCTGTCCACTAGGGGGCTCCACCACTCACCATAAACACAGAATGAATGAATGTTCTTTCAAATGTGGCACCAAAGGCAGGTTCTGCCACCTTCTCAGTGACGCCAGTCAGAGGGAGATGAAGTTTCCTAGGCCTCAAGGGGCCCCATGCCGTACCCCCGACTCAGTTGTTCCAGGACTTACGATTGCGGGTCAGCGTGTCGCCTTTTGCCAGGGCTGTCAGGGCGGCCAGGTTTGGGTTCGAGCCAAAGCCGGAGCTATGGCGCTTCTCTTTGCGCCGCTTGGAGCCGTCGGCCCGGGTCACCCTGTCGGGTCTCACCAGAACCCCATAACCGGGGTTACAATGAAAGTACCGGCGTCCGCTAACTGAGCCGTCGTTCTTACCTGTGAATGTCATGAGAAGAAACATCAGTGACAGGTATCAGGGATGGGTGTCCTGGTGCCCTAGGTGAGATTCTGCTTCTACTTAGAATTACTGTTGAATCTGAACGTCATTTGTCTGCTGCCCGTAACCCTAACCCTAACCCTAACCCTTCCCTCAGTCACGTAGAACAAAGCCGGTACGCATCTAGGGCTGGACTGGATAACAGTGTAGTAAAGAGAATCAGCTGCATGAAATACATCCAGAGAATCTCAACTTAACATGGAAATCAACAAGAACCAATTGAAGCGTGTAATATTAACATTTATGAATATTCCAAAGCTCAGGATTATTCCGAGCCGCAGCCATCCAAGAACCACTCGACTCAGCAAATCGTCCCCAATAAGCCTTCAGCCAACCTGTCTGGAGCGCTAAGCTGCATGACTTCTGTGGAGAAGTTACTGGATCGTGACCCTCCAGGACCAGCATTCAAGGAGGAGAGATTAACAACAGAACTTCATATGGCTCCATACTGTTCCTACTGAGCGAAAGTGAGACGTACCAGAAGGAGTGTCGAGTTCCACGCCGACCCATATGCCGTCTGCAAAGTCGCTGGGACCCACGTAGCGCACGGTGCCACTTTTGTTGGTACCTACAGTCACATACTGTCCCTCTTTCAACCAGTCAGGCAGAGGCGTTTCTCCGAGCTCGTCCGAATCCCATGCCATCTCCAGCCTGTCCTTAGTCTCACCGGCATCGCTGCTGCCGTCTTCACTCAAGATGCTCCTGAAGGACTTAAGGTCAGAGGTCTTCACCTTCTGGATCTTGAAGGGGTTGATAAGAGCGGGTTTTAAAGGGGGGGGTTGGGTTCTAGACTCTGGGCTGCTGCAGAGATGAGCTTCAAGAGGAGCTGGTGTAATATTAGTGGCAGTAACATCAGCAGGAGTCACAATGGTTTGAGGTGATGGAGCAGTTTCAGCAATGGTATCTAGGAGAGGGGTATTAATAGGAATGGCATCCGGAGGAGCTGTTAGACTCCTATCAAGAGGAGGCGCAACAGTAAGTGTATCGAGAGAGGTGGTTGTAGTTTCATGAGTAGGGGAAACATCTAGAGCAAGACGAGTACTTGTATTATCAAGAGGGATAACAGTGAGCAAATCGAGAGGGGCACTAGTATTAGTGTCAAGAGGGGGGGCAAGAGTAACTGCATCCAGAGGGGCAGTTGTAGCATCCTGAGGTGAGGTATCAACCATATTGAGAAGGGCAATTCTATTAGTATCAAGAGAAGGGGTAAAAATAGCTGTATCCAGAGGGGCAGTTGTAGTATCCAGAGGGGCAGTTATAGTATCATGAGGACAGGTATCAACCATACCGAGTGGGGCACTTCTACTGGTATCAAGAGAAGGAGTAAATATAGCTGTATCCAGAGGGGTAGTAGTGGTAGTATCGTGAGGAGTCGTAGTAATAAGAACAGGAGACGTATAAGCAGGAACAGGAGACGTATAAGCAGGAACAGGAGACGTATAAGCAGGAACAGGAGACGTATAAGCAGGAACAGGAGACGTATAAGCAGGAACAGGAGAAGTATAAGCAGGAGAGGAGAGCAGCCTATTCCCATCTGGTGCCAGAAAGCCTTTGGCAGTCAGCGTCTCCTGAGGCTGCTCTTCCTGCCCAGCCATGTCTCCTGGTGGTTCTCCAGCCTCAGACTTCACAGTACCAGCGGAGCCCTCCCTCTGGTCGCTGCCAGGTCCAGGGGCTGCCGGCACGCTGCTGGGACCCATGCTGGTGACAGGGCTCGGGTCCTCGCTGGACACTTGCGAAGCGTCGGACAAGGTCGTGGTGGAGACGCTGGCTGAGGAGTAGCCACTGGAGAGGACACTCATCGGGCTGATGGGCACGTCGTGGGGATCTCTGACTGAGGGGACGGGGGCCCCTGCGGTCTCCACCCGTCCCTGCCCCTGGAGACATCCAAACATCACCTCTCAGTTACACCGCTTCAGAATGAATGCAGACACTTTAATATAATCCAAGGAACTGCTGAAGTATTTCCTTACAACCTAGACAAATTTACCATCAAATGATTAGTCTACACTTTAAGGGAGGGTATTTCAGCTCTGAGATGCTGCGCAGAGGTAAAGGGTGACATGAGTCATCTAACAACAGCTTTTAAAGAGACAGACTTGCCTGATTTGTTCGAACTGGGCTTTCCTTGGTGCATGAGGATTGTACTGAGATACGAGGCGTGGCCTAAGAGCGAGAAAACAGTGGGTGACGGCTCAGCTTTGAGTATTCATCAAGTTTAGCTGTTCATTATGTACTTCAGGTTCAGAGCCATCTGCTCAGTCTCAAAGGAGGGCATGTGGGACAGAGTCAGCAGCAATTTAGCAAATATCGTTCTTAATGTAGGTTAGTCCTACAGGAAAAATGTTGCATGTTACAGAGATTCAAGAACCGGACCACTGAGCATTAAATTTGACTGAAACTGAAATAATACATGATTCAAGCCAAGAATTCACAGGAAAAGATACAGTGAAGTAGTAGTAAAAAGAGAAATTCATGTGCAGTTTGCATACTTTATACAGGTATAGGTGACAAAACAGGTGCGGAAAGTACAAAAACAGCAAAGGCATTTTCTTGTTCATTCACAGTTGCACTTGCCATAGTTGGTCATTCTGAAGACCACCGCACCAGGTACTTGTGCAAAAGTACAACACTTCAAAGTGTAAAACCTGTTACCATCACAATGCGAGGCAGGATATTTTTCACTGAATTCGAAAAGTGGCTGCAGTATATTATAGGGCTGCTTGATGTGCAATATCAACATCACATGTTATGCACATGCAATTCTCACATTGCAAGAACAGCGACAGCTGGGCTGAGATCAAGTTTTTTCATACCTTCATACTGTCTGGACATCATAGCATTTTTACTTTGTCATAGGAAACAAAACCTAGCAACAACAATGCAATTATCTAGTATATGTTAAAATCAGTTTAAAGGTTATCTCCACTGATTTTGCACGAGCACTGCATGTGTTCTCTGAGACAATCAATCATTTTCATCCTTGCTGTTTAAATGCTTTATGAATATCCCAATATTTATTACAGCAAAATGACATTGAGATATTTGGAAAATTCTCCAATACTGTGCTGTCCTAGTATAATATACAAAATAGTTTTTTACTTCTTGTCATGCCATCCTGACCTTGTATCTGTTCTCCCAACCGGGACACAATTAAAGCTTTGGTCTCTTCATTTGTCCATGCATACATTATTATTTTTTTATTTTGTTTTTAAACTTCGTTTATGGTTGTTTTTTCAAGGCGTTTGTATTGTGTTTCAGCGCCAGGCTATTTGCATAACCACTTCACAAAGAAAGCATTTCAAATCCCACCCCAAAGTACTGAAGTACCAAAGAAGTACCCCAGCTGGTTTGGTTCTTAGGGTACTGGAACTTTTGATACTGGAACTCGACTGGAAGTCGAAAAGGGAAAGTACTGAAGCAAAAGTACGGTACCTGGTGCGGTGGAAAAGTGCGCTAAATGACCAATTTGCTTTAAACGTATACAGCCCCCTCCAAAGATAGTTGATAAAATAGTATGAGGTCAATCGCCCAGGATTAAGTGACAGAGGCCCCCTGTGGGTTGAGCCCAGCACCTACTAGGCCTGAGGTCAGGAGGTCAAACACTGCTACTCTGTTACTCTCTGGCTCGCTGTCTCCCTCTTCAGTGGGAGGCGCCTGAAACAAAACCAGCCCCGTTCACCCCTCCCGGCACAGTGTGCTTTCTCACTTCTACAGCAGTGGTTTTCCATCCTGTTCCTGCCCTGCCCCCCCCCCCCCCAGAATGATTTAATTCTCATAATGGTAAAGCATTGAGGGTGGGGGGCAGGGGAGTCAACTCTGCCATCATGACCCTTCAATAAAGAACAACAGCAATATCATCAGCAGCCTTCAGTAATGTAGGTGCTATGCTAAGCAGCATGCTAAGCCTCTGAGGAGTCTCATGGAGATCTTCACTAGCATGGAGAGGCCAGGGGGAGGCGCCCACCTGCTGGGAGGGGAGGGACAGTCGCAGGTCCTTCTTGCCATCGCGAGCTGGGAGCAGGGACTTGAGTAGCTTGGGCATGGGGGCCACCAGAGCCTTCACTGGGGAGAGATAAGGAGCAGCCAATCCTGAGAGATCGGGGGCCGTCCAGAAAGAATGGGCTGCAGAAGGAAGAGGGGGAAGTGAGGGTGAGAAAAGTGAAGGAAGGAACAGGGCAAAGGCAACGGCATGGAGATGACAGGAAGTTACAGAGCACAGGAAGCGCACAGAGTCCGAACAGCAACAGGAATAACCGCTCAAACGGCTGCATGTAGGAGAATCACACATAAAGCACCACCGCCGCTAACGGGGCGCGGAGACGCCACCGCCGCTAACGGGGCTAGCCGTCACTCATTTCTATTTTGTCTATTAGATAAAATGTCATATAAAGCTGCATAATTTTAATAAATAAAAAATTGATATTCTAATCATTACAGGACAAACACTGTAATGATATCAGGACTGGCTTCTCATGAAAATAGCACCG